AGCCAAAACCAGTTCTTGACGGGCACCTGCACATGCGTAAATGCATGTGCATAGTTCTGCACATAGAAATGTGCACGCCTGTGGGCCTCCCTATAAATTTCTATTGCAGCATATGTAAATATGTGAACAGGGGTCCCTTGTGGACTATGTCTGTCACTGATAGCATATGAAGGAGGCACAGTCCCTAAATTAAATGTCCAATAAAAAAAAAAGCTCTATTTTTCTCTCCTGCTGTCTGTTCCACTGGACACAACTGTAACGCAGAGAAGCCAATCCCCGAAGTCCATTCAGAAACATGTCACTCTCCTGATCCCTTACTGCACCCAATAGTTTCTCCCGCCAACCCCCACAGTGGGGGGCCTGAGGACGATCTGGGGAGGGTGGGGGGTATTGGAGTTGGGATCTGCCAGGAGTTTAGAATGTGAATTTATGCCCAGGACAGGATTAGCTCTAGCTTTCTTCTGGATCCTCCCTGATGGTTGATGTATCCCACTGTCATGGCATTTGTTGACTGAATCGGGAGCAGATGACCCTCCAGCCAGGCATCCCTGCACTGCAGGAACAACCAAAGTGCTCAAAGCTCCAAGATGTTGATCAGGAGACAAAATTCCTCCAATGTCCATGTCCTCTGCACTGACAAAGTTCCGAAGACTCCTGCCCAGCCCATCAGGTTGGCATTCATCATGAGGATCTTCCAAAAGATTGGTAGGAAGGACTTCCCCAACTCCAAAGCTGGATTCCTTAGCCACCTAGCCAAGACAACCTGGTTTCTTGGTGTCAGACAAATCGCTCTGTCCAATGACTGGACTGATTTTTCCCAAGATGATAGACTGTTGTGTTGTAGTGGTTTGAAGTGATCTGATGGCAGAAGTCTGGAACTCCTTGGAAGCAGTTTAGTATTGTAGGGACTGGAGAGACCTAGAATCAAGCAGAGCCTCAGTGGCTGGTGGGTCAGAGGCCACAAAGGTTGCCGGCAGATCTAATACAGAATCTGTGGGGGAAGGTGTGGAAGTGCGCTTGTGGCCTCTGCGTTCAGAGTCAGCAAACGTTTGTGTGATTTGGGCCATCAAGTCATGCATGACTAAAGTGGGGGTGGCAATGCCTGACAGGGCTAGGCAAGACTTCAAAGATGGCATAGACTCTTGGAGCCGAATGCAAGATAATTTCAGCTACAGATGTCGGCCTTATTAGTAAGCATGTTACAAGCTGTTTTTTTTAAATTTTTTATTATATAATGAAAAATGAACCGAACATTTTGAGAAAAAAGCTGTTTTCCCTACGTTATGTTATAAAACATTTATTATTACCCAATTTTTTGGTAAAATCTAAAAGATGGGGTCACGTCGGGTAAATAGACACCAAACATATCAAGCTTTAAAATTGCGTGCGCCCGTGAAAAACTACCATGCTTAAAATTGGCCATTGGCAGCTTTAAAAGCTTTTATCGCTGATCAATTTAGTGTTATCAGTGATTGATGGCCCTAAAATTGTTGCTCACACTCCGACGTTCGCGGCGATATGAAACATGTGTGGTGTAATCGTTTTTGCACGGAGGCGCACCTGACGCGTATTTACGTTTATAAGTGCGTGCACGCGGGGGCGAGGGACTTAAAATATTTTGGGGTGTTTTTTCTTTTTTTTTTATATGGCTAATTTTTTTTTTACTTTTTTTTTTTGTACACTTAACTTGATTGCTATCACATAGGGGCCTGAAAAGCTGATAGCCAACATACAATGACAGGTCGTTTTTATGGAGACATCAGGGGTCCATGAGACCCCTAATGTCACCTAGGGACCCCCAAAGAAGTTGATCTGCTTCACCAGCTTCTTCTCTGGCTATAGCAGCCAGAGAAATTACAGCTATAGGCGGAAGTGATGTATTACACATCACTTCCACCTTTAGAAAGAGAGGAGAGCTCAGCAGTGGGATAATTCTGATCTCTCCTCCTCCTCTGTTCTAGTAGCTGATGTGGCGGTGTTCTCGGTCCCGGGCAACACAGGGGGGCAGCGGTGCCTGGGATTACTGGCAGGGGCAGCAGAGTGGGGCTGGCATTGTGCAGGGTAATACAAGCGATCGGCTGGCTGTACGCTTGTATGTAACAACCGATAACGGCTGTTTACATTCCTGGCGGGATTCGCGCACGAGCAGAAAAAAAAAATCACATACATGTACCACCCGTCGGGTAGCATCTGGCAATTTTTTTTACAATGGGCGGATGGCAAGGGGTTAAGTTGCATTGATCTGTGAGATTAACGGACCTGGTCCTGCAGTGCGCTTGTGTGCACAGCCGATCCCTTCACTCGCCCTGACAGTCTGATAAAGTCACAGGTCCGATGGAATGATAAAACACTGGCACTTCCATCTTCTCTCCGGACTACTACTGGGTTTAGCATATTCAGCCTCTTGATTGGCCGGCCAGCATGATGTAACTCCCAAGCATGTGTACGGGTGTTACTTAGGGTTGCCACCTGTCCAGGATTCACCCGGACAGTCCGGGTTTTGAATGCTGTGTCCGGGTTTCATGGCAGCTGAAACCCGGACACATGATGTCAGGCAGACAGGGGCAACCAAAATAAGGATAGGGGCTACTGGCCCCCCATTGAAAAATAGTCTCAACTGTGATATTTAGATATGAATGGGTGGAGCTATTTACATATGAATAAGGCGCGACTAATTCTCCCCAAAAAATTTCCGTGTTCGGGTTTCGCTGGAAGAAAAGGTGGCAACCCTAGTGTTACTCCATCTCAGCATGCCGAGTTTGTCTGTTGAGCTGCCTATGTGCATTCCATTCCGTCACAGACCCAGTGCCAGCATTAGAATTACACCAGCCACAACATCCACATTGAAAGCACGAATCGTATTGCTACAACGTCAAACACCTAGTGGCAGAAGCCCTTTGGAATATAATAAAAGTTGTCATTCCTTTCATCAATCAAACACATTTTTACTATTAGTGCATATTCATCACACATTCCCCAAAGCCTTGAGCGCAGTAAACTGCGCATGCGCAGTGTAGAACAGGCCCGCAGAGGCACCCACGGGATCTTAGCGTGTATGGAAGTGAGGCTTGGAACGCAAGCTGGATTCTCTGCGGGTTGAGGCCTACAGTCTATGGCTACAACCGTTACTATGGTAGTCGCTGTAAATGGAGTCGTGCCGTGGAGTCTGAAGTGAAACGGATATATGAATTGGCCGGCGGGACCAAATATGCAGGCTTGTGGAGAACGGGTCGAGCACAGTGAAGGTTGCAACGTTTATATCTTGGATATAGACCATTTCTAGGCTCTCTGCATGGGTAAAATATTCCAGAATAATCGTATTGAACAAATTACAGTCCCCTTATGACAAGCATGAATTTAGAGAAGTAATCGTTACCAGCCACAGAAATCGTTCACCTATAAGGTGTGTTTGAAGGAAGGGTGCCGACATTAAACTGCTTTGTTTTTTGGTTCAGTTTGGGGTCTGATTTACATATGAAATGGACCTGTGTTCGTTCAATTGTGGTCGATGCAAGTTCTGTGTTTGTTTTTTTGTGTATCACATGATTGGATGAATCAGTTCACACTTCAATGTACAGCCCAGCCTTTTCTAAAAAAATAACAATAAATGCACATACATTAGTAAATGAAAGAACAGCATTTATGAATCTTTGCGTTTGAGCCTGCGAAGCATTGCAAACTGCAATCAGTGGATCATGGTTGCAGTACTCTGGTATGTACAGACTCTTCCTCCCAGACCCTGTCTTTACCCAGTTCACCCAAGCCCACTCAAAACTGACCACCACCACCTCCTCCCCCCAGACCAATCAGTGGTGCTAGTTTCAGCAGGGGCATTTCCTTTCCCTTTATGACATATAGGTGTCTGGAATATGCCTCCCCTCAACTTATTGGGCTGGGAAGAAGGGGTGTCAGTCACAGATTTGAGTGGGCTTGAATGAACTTAAGCGAACTGGGTGCGCACCAAGCCCAGGCTCACTTTTCCCAACCCTTTTCATTAAGGTCCGGGAAGAAGTATGAATGGGCTACAAGTGCAGTGACATCAGTGTACTTGTGAACTACAAGTCCCTCTGCCACAGTGACAGAACTTGTAGTTGCTCCATTCACAGATCCTATCAAAGTATATGTGAATGGATGACATGTCTGTGCAGACAGCTAAGATATCTCAGAGTTGGAAAGACGAGTTAACTGCTAGTTCAGGGTACTTTTAGATTGTAGTCCTCCTTACCATCTTGTCTTAAATTGTATTGTGATTGTAATGTCTTCCTTATATTGTAAAGTGCTGCGCAAACTGTTGGCGCTATATAAATCCCCCAGTTTTGGTGGTCAGAGTCCCAGTGACATCATCACATACAATACCCTGCATTAAATGCGAGAAAACTGAGTTACAGTCCACAGTGCGGAGAGGAGGGGGATCAGGTAAGTAAAGGTCCTTTACAATATAGCCCTTTACCTAGAGCTAGGCTTTAAAGATATCTATTACATGATCAGCATCCAGTCCATTGCTGAAAATGCATTTTCATATTCTGTTCCATGTAGAGATGTTCAGATACCAGTGCAGATACTTGGCATTTTCATGAGAACTACCAGGGTTGCAGCGGTTGCAGCTGGGACCTGGCTCTGGTGCTCCCCCACTGTCCTGAAATCATTAGTCTGTATTGTATTAGAAAAACTGTCACATGACAATAAACAAAAATGTATCAGTACTTGTATCTGTGAATACTTGGACAAGTATCAGTACTTGGCCTGAAAAAATTGTATCGGTGCATCCCTTATATATACAGGAATGCACAAATCCCAGGAGCTCCGTGTGCTCCTTACAAATGACAGCTGCCTCCTAACTTTTGAATTTTTCTCTAGTCTAGTCTTGGAGCTGGAAAAGTATCTGTACATGTACTTGTACTGAGTACAGTACTTGGTATCTGAACATCCCTAGTTCCATCAATATTCAATTTCCTTCTAATCTAACAAGGTAACCATTGTTTGCTTCTTAACAGGAGAAACATGATGGCTAGAAGTGGGATAAGAAGTTCAGCTCTGGCCAGGGCAGAAGTCCAGCTTGCTGGTCAGAGAGTGCCCAGAAAACCTAAAGATTCTTCAGATGAACTGCAGGTTGGTGTTCACCGTGGACTGGCTTGCATAGCAAATAACGGGTCTCTTTATAATTATAAATGTATTTTGTTTGTGTCTGTTTACAGTCTGACCACATTTTCTACGGGCCAATCAATTATTTTTCTCTGGTGTTTGGATTTGTTTAACCCTGGCTACATGGATAACAGAGATTGTGCCTACCTGGCCTTATTCACAGGGCCCAGCATTAAAATGTTGCTATGCCTCTCCTCAATTTATCCACATTTTATTCAATATACTCAACCTTTTAACCTGCTTTAAAGCCAAAGTCTATGGGCGTCATTTATAATCCTGGTACTAGCTCCCTGAGATGGTGCTGACAAGTATAGGAATTTCTGAACAACATCTACCTGGCACAATTTTATAAATGAAGCCCTAGGTGTAAAAAAAGGATATTTTGGCCAGTCTAATGACATCACAGGTCCTTCCTCTTCTCCTCCGGAAGCACCAATGGGTGCATCCTAATACAAACATACATAATCATGCACTACACACCTCAATTACTGGGAAGCAGTGAGAAATTTTCCTTTTGCAGCGGGGGAAGAAGACAGATATTGCTTCTTCACTCAAATTGCTGAACCTCCAGCTTGTGTGTCTGTAGGTCTGCAGGAAGGACATGCTTCAACATACAATTTATGTGCTGGAAGTGTGGAACTGCAGAGTCTCTGGAAAGCTGGACTGTGTGTACTGTACTGTGTGTACTGGGAGAAAGATCAATGTGTATGCACTTGAGGTTGGATCTTACTAGGGAAAACCAATCTGTGTGCTGGGGATGGTATCTCACTGACTGAAAGTAGAATTTACCCCTTATATTATATATCAGATAGGATAGGCTGAATACTTAGCTGCTTTAAATTGTGTTTTTTAGTAACTGCTTGGAGTTCAGCTTTAAGATCTGTAGTTGTATCCCAATGTTTGAGGACATTAGTCTTTTGTAATTTGACAAAGGGCTGCTCTCTGGAAAGATTACATTCATGCTTGTAATTTTAGAACCCTCTGATTTCCACTGGTGTTACTATAGTGTTTTGTTCTGAAGCTCTGGGATCACCTTAACTAGGTTTTGGCTTTGGCTATTTACCTAATCCAGGACAAAAAGATGTATATGTTGCTATAGAACCACCTTGATTCCATATAATGTTCAATCTGCTTTGTCTTTTTAGGAATACATGCGTGCACTGAGCAACAAATCAAGTGCGTTAAAACTATCCCAACCATCCATTGCTAACCTAAACGATTTGTCAGCTTCAGAACATGAGAGTGAAAAACATAAAGGTACTGTTAGCCCCTGGCAATCAACAGGAACCCAAAGTCGTTTTTTAAAGAAAAAATCCCCAGCTAGTAAAGATAGACAGAGCAATGTCAAACCAGCAAGTGTGGTATCAAAGCCTCAACCTGTGCAGTCGAAGATGCCAACCAGCGCAGCACTGAAGAGACTGGCAGAATTTGAGAAGCGGCATCGAATGAGGTATACCTGGGTAAAACCTACACATTCTGCAGCTTTTAGAATTTTTCATTCTGTATTAATGGTTACCTTCTCCATGCTTTTTCTTTTTGTACAGAAAATTGGAACTAGACATCTCTGAGAATGATTCTGACCTGAGGACTTCAGAGGAAAGACCATTCTCCAACAGATCAAGTAGTGAATTCAGCTCCCGCGGGAATAGGTTCTTGAAGAAAAAAGTTAATATAAAGGAACCAGAGCCCATGGAACAGATCAGAGGACCCTCCATCAGGGGCAGTTCAGCCGAGAATAAGAGAAGAGTTGCAGAGAGTGACGAGGAGCTCCAGCTGATTGGCAGTTCGGTGGAGTTTTCAGAAAATGATAGTTGGTGGAAAAGGCCGGTGAGCTTAAATCGTGGAGTCTTTATATTATGGGAGAATGTTTTATCAGTGCTGTTTTGGGGAAGAACAAACATGCTTTCTTTTTATAATAATTTTTTTACCAATTTGGATTACCATTTTCTAATACACTTTGTGTAATGGGACGTCTCCTTCCTACTAGTACATTTGGTGATACAAGAGCACAAATCAATTAAAATACATGGGCAGTATAACCTATGACATGTAAGATGGCTGTATCGTGACATGATATAAAATGTAATGTCTTGTGTCAGGAGCAAGGCATGCTGAGCAACCAGACTGGCTTATTCAACTGCCATTGTGTGTTAGAGAGCGCTGCTGCCCAGCTACCGCAATATGGCACAGTGGAATGAGGGCAGCACACACACACAATGCCCTAGACGTGCGTTTATTCACATGCAGATGGCGGGGGCGGCAGGGTTGGTTTTAATTTTTGTAATCACTTTTTTTTTTTTTTTTGCATATGCATTTCCAAACTCCCAACGTGGAAAATGAGTCTTTAGGATGTGTTAACCACACCACCTAGATGATCATATCCAGAAATCAGAGGGTCTCACCCACCTCCCTTGGTTTTCTATCTGGGTTTCCTTCCTTGACATCCGAACCATCTCAATAATTTACCAGGTCACAAGGCCATTTATAAGTTCGAGTGAATTACAATGAGACCAGTTTCACAGTCCAGGAAAAATACACAAAGCACAGAAATCCCAGTTTTTTCAGCCTATACTGCTTTTTATTATGTTTTTCTTAATCCGATATCACAACTAAATATATTTTCTTTAAATGGTGAATCCAGAAACAAGAAGTGTACACTGGAAAATAGATTTGCACTTGGAATGTAGATTTTGTGGGTTTATTTTTTTTTTTTTACTTTGTACAGGTCAGCTTAAATTGATACGTAAGTGTGTGTATATAAAAGTAAAACTTTTTTATAGTTTTGGATAGAGGAGTGTTAAAACCCCTATCAGGCTATTTTTGCTACCTGTGTCAAACTATGGAGATTTCACTTCATATCCTGGAAACACAACTAGAAATTAGAAGAAATCTATCTAAAATGAACACAATTTCCGTCTTTAAGTTGTCATAGAAACACCTGCCTCAATTGGAGGATTTTCTCTTTTGGTTCTTGTAAAAATTCTAACATTTTAGATTTCCTTTCATTTTCTATACCGGAGACAGTGGTTCAGGGCCGGTTCACACCAGCTCCAGTGCATTCACGATTCGCTGCTGGAACGCATCTCGGCCGGCTTCTTGCGTTCAGGTGCGGAAGGGGACGTGGCAGTGCATTGAAGTCATTGGCACAGCAGCCAGTGCGATCGCCCACACCGGAGTGCGTGGCACATCAGTGCCTGCGTTCTGGTCCAATGCGATCTGAAAATATAGTGCATGCAGCATTTTTTTGGATCGCACTGTACTGATGTGCCCCCGTTCCGGTGTGGGCGATCGCACCTCTCCCGCCCCTGAATGCAGGAAGCCGGCCAGGATGTGCTGCCGGTGCGTTCCAGCATTGAATCGTGCTGGAACGCACCGGAGCTGGTGTGAACAGACCCATAGGGCTATTCACACCAGATGCAGTTGTGATGCAGTCTATTCAGTTTGGCAGCTGCATCCAAAAGCATCACAATTCTTTCCTATGTGATTTCTAGTGCTCTTCACACCAGTGCAGTCCGTTCCGATGCAATCAGAACAAATCCTGTTTGCCCCATTTTAGCTCCACCTGATCGCAATGGAATGCAAAAAAAAAAATGTATGCAAATGCCGTGGACTGCACCTGAAAGCCCATTTTAAGTTTAAAAAATAAAAACGCGTCAAAATCGCAGTAAAAACACGGCAAAACGCATCGCACTGCAGGTGTGCAGACACATGGCGTGCACTAGCAGTTTGCTAAGACAAATCTTGCCAGTGGGGACACAGACATCAGCAAAATAGTAAGACACAATGTCTTACTATTTCCAAGTAGATCCAAAACAGAAAAACATGCCTTTACATATACTTTGCTTGTATGCATTTTGAATGATTATAATCATTCAATTATTATTACTTTTACCTGAAAGTAATTTTTTACATGACTGGCATTTTTAATTTCTTGACAATAAGTATTTTGTTTGTTCTTTTTCATATAAAGATTAATCAATGCCTCCTTGTAGAGTTTATCTGTATATTGCAGAAAGTAATTTGCATTATCTGCCTAAAGAAAACCTTTCCTGTGAGAAATATGTAAGTTGCCATTGCTGATTTCTCATTCTTCTAGAGCTAGTTGCCTGGTTATCTTGATGACCCTCAATGATTTAAGTCACGGACCCAGAACAAGCATGCAGACAAGGTGTCCTGACTTGTATACATGTTTCAGGTCATTGGCGAAGCCAGAGGGTCATCAATAGTAGTCAGGCTACTAGGATTTTCAGAAGGAGGTCAGAAATTGCTGCCCCTGTGTGTGTTTGTTTTTAGGAAGGTGCACATTATGACACAGACTGGCAGTGAGAGCAGTAAACACAAATTAATTATTTCATAAGCAAGTGTGGTCCCACATGTGACCCACTTCAATATGAGTATTTAAGTATTATGTACGAATTATTTTCTTTTTTTCTCTTTTTAGAAACCACCTAGAACTCCCTCATCACCCAGCAGATTAACCCCACGCAGAAACATACATCGTAGTTCTTCAGCTCTTGGTTTCTTCTCTCCACGCCGTCCTCCTTCTCGCTTTTCTTCCAGAACTCCCTCTCCTCCTAGTCATGGAACTCCAAGATACCCAAGAAGAACACACTCTTTAACTCGTTTTGGATCGCGGTCTCCTTCACCATCTGTGAGAAGTTCAATGACCAGCAACACTCCAAGAGCACGGCTGGGGAGACGTAGTAGAACTCCTCTCTCTCAGAGAAGCGACTTTAAATCCCTTGATGAGCTTTTTTCTAAAGCAGATGATCTGAGCAGCGCAAGTTCCAATGGTAATATTTCACCTTTTTAGTAATGTATATATTTTGAACTGATAATTTGTTTATGCCTATGATGCAGAACAAGTTTAAACATTTAATTAGGATCCAAGCACCTTACTGATTTTATTTATTGTCCGTCCCCCTAGTATTTGGAGTTGCTTTGTCAGTATCCCCAATCTGTTGCTGTGTCCCCAAGAGTAATGGCAGTTCAATCCATATAACAGGACTTTATATTTAACTGCTTACCTATACATTTATTGGAATAGTAGCCACAAAAAATTTAGAACCACAGCTACAAACAATGTTCTCAGCTCGTTGCACTTCAGTGAATTAACAGGGCAATGCCAATAATAAATTGCAGATTGGGTCAGTAAATTTTATATGCACAGCAGGTGACCTAGCTTAAGATAAGGGCTTCTAACTTTTGTGTAGATTGTTCTAGTGGCTCAAAATATACAAACCAAGACCAAGACCAGGGTGAACATAACAGGCAGATGACTATTATTTTTGGAAGGTTGCTTGCCTGTTTTTCTCTCATTTACAAGTTTACTTTGAAAATAGTATTTTCATATTTATCATAAAATCCTTCATTCAGGGACACTGGAGGCCTTAAACTCTAGGATTATACTGCCACTTTCACTTAGTGCGAGCTGACACAGTTGTACCCTGTGCCTGAAGGTTAGCTTGAATTTGTCTGGAAGTTGATGGAGGGTCTTTATCCACCAATCTAACAATCCTTCGTTGCAATCTTTCATCAATTGTTCTCCTTGGTCCACAGCCAGAGAGATTAGCTACAGTGCCATGGGCTGTAAACTTTCTGACAATGTTGCGCACAGTGGACACAGGAACATTAAGATCTCTGGAGATGGACTTGTAACCTTGAGATTGTCCATGCTTTTCCACAAAAACTTGGAATACAATTATTTAATGCAATTTGGAGGAGGTGCCAATAATTTTGTTCAGTCCATTTTTGGATTTTGCGTGGAATGTGTCAGATTTGGCTTTTTTGTTCTCCACTTTTTTGTGTCATACCAATACAAACATGAGAATGCCTAAACATTTGTAATTGCAACATGTTCTGCGTGAAGTGGAGCATTATCTGACAGAAATGCAGGGGTGCCAATATTTTTGGCCATGACTGTATATATGTTTTCAGTTAACCACTAGTATATTACCCTTTTGTTACTAGGCCATTTTTCAGTGCTGTGATAGTTTGACAATTACTCCGTCATGCAACACTGTACCCAAATAAAAATTATACCAGTTTTTGAGACCGATCTTTATTTTGGTGGTATTTTTACTACATAAAAGAACAGTTTCCCTTACTGTTAGAAAACATATCAAATAGAAATGGCTAGGACAGTATGAACACCCCAAAATGTAAATTTTCTGGAAATTAGACACTCCAAGGTGATCTCATATTTATTTATTTTTCACACAATGTCTTGGAAGTTAAGAAATATGCCAGCATTGAGGTGGTTAAAATATGGATCTAGGTAATGGTGCACTAGATGTATGTCATACACAAGTGGAGGAGGCGGTAAAAGGGTTAATGTACAGGTCACATACAGTGGAAAGGTGAGGATAAGATGTACAGGAGAGGAGGGAGAATAATGGATTAAAAACAATCCTACATTTAAAAAAATCTAATTACATTTGCTGTTGCCTACCCTTTATTGATACAATCCACATATATAAGATTGTGCTTCCTCCCCTTCCTCCGTTGTGAGAGGAGTACTATTTACTTTGTGATCACTGTGACTGGCGATCACAAGGCACAGAGCCACTCTGTTTGGATCTGTGCATTTTGCCCACAATTTGCATCAATGACTGTGTGATCATAACCATTGTGCACACGCACACAATGAAAACACAGAGCCATTTTATTACTGCGCTTCAGGACACCCCAGCCACCACTCCGTCAATTTTAAAATGTATAGTGGCAGTGTAGTGATTCATTATGCAGTTTTTTGGATCATGAATTGATACATAGGTCTCCCTTTTAGATTTTAAACTGAACATCATGAGTTTGGATGAACTGGCACCTGCTGCAGGCACAGATGAACTTGAAGAAAAGGTAAAATAGTTTTTTTTTTTTTTCTGTGCAAATATTTACCTTTTTATTATTACTAATAATAAAGGTAAATAATTATTATTATTTATTTAAGCCTGATAGTTATTTCCTTATTGCCTTTACAATATTAAAGTGTGTGTAATCCCTAACAGTGAACTTCTTTTATTTGCTCCTTTTTGGTCTGTTGAATACTGTTTGTTCTGCCTCCCCAGTCTAAGCATTGAAAGTGTGATCTCTGTAACTTTCAGTTGTGGTGAGATGGCAGTAACCCCGAACTCAATGAGTTGGCAGACAGTTGACTCAATCCATATGACACCTTAAAGGTTGTTGAGAAATGTAATCCAAACTGTGCAAATCTTTGAAACCATGAGGATAGGTCATAATGGGATCCACACATGTGGCTGAGATGCAGAATGGAACATAATGAATAAGGGTGGAGTTATCTATACTGAACTATGAGGGGGGTTGGAGACAAATACCAGAGACAGAGCAAATAATATTTAAAAGCATGTGTAACATGACACTGTTCGTTGTTATATTTGTTCAATAAGTGCAAAGAAAGTGCCTGTGGATTCTGACAAATCCAGTCCCGTGTAGTGTTATCTCAAGCAGTCTTATCTTCCTGCCCGGGAAACCTATGTGGACTGCAGAACATCTACTCCTATGTTATGGAGATGTGGAGACAGAAGTGTGTTCTGTAGTCCTAACATGCTTTCTGTCCTAGGGAAATAATGCTGCTCCTCCAGTGATTGAGCGTTATCTCTCTAGGAAGTGTGTTTCTGGCAGGATCACTAAGTCTGAAAAAAACCGAATGCAGCCACCACATGTAGAGAGCTGATTAGCTGCAATACTTTGTTTTTTTGTTGGTTTTAGATACACTATACCTCTTTACCTATGAAGGCATCAAAAGAAAAACCTAAGGAAACCAAGCTAGCACCCACTACAGACCTCCGAGAGCTCTCGAATAATAAAGATGCAAAGGCATTCATGAGACGGAAGTCCAGCTCTGATGAAGAATCTGCTCTTGAAGTACATACAGAGACAAATAAGTCAGAAGTGTCAAAGCAGCAACATAAAGACCACTCTAGTTCTTCTGAGCAGCCTGATGAAACTACCGTTCATTCTGCTTACTCTGAGGATTTTGAAGATTCTGTGCCCTCTGACAATGGGCTTAGTTCAAAGTCTTATTCATATTCATTTCCTAAATCCATATCCTCTGATGAGTCCAGCCTTACCTCGAGTCATTCTTATCCTCAGCCTGGCCAATCAAAACAGAAAAAACAGTCGCATATAACACAACGAGTCGTTGTACGAGAAGCTTCTGTACAGACAAATGATGCTGAATTCACTTACAGCTGGCCACAAGGTAATTATTGTATCATTGTACCATCGTAAAGGCATGCTATAATTTTGGGTGAATTGTATTTATTTTTAAAGTTTGTAAATGTAAAGTGTGCAAACACTTGTAAATATTCACACTAATGTTTTATCTGTTTTTGGCTACATGTATTAAATCTTTGTTTTCCAAGTAAATGCTTTACACATGGCAAAGGATTCCCAGAGCACCCTGGGTCCTAACCCAGGGTACTCTGGGAATAGCTAATAGCACAGTGGCTGCCTTCTTCTGTTTTAAACCCCCAAACTGAGCTCTCCAATAAGGGATGAGTCACTGCTCTGGCCCATTTTCTTGTGTGTAGATTTCGGATTTAACTATTGTTAAAGGTTGTTTGCAAATGGTAAGGAGACATGGTTAAACATTTGACAATGAGCCTAGAGCAGGACAAGCAACTTCACAATATTCATACAGTATGTGATACAGATGCTCCGCGGCTTACGATGGTTCGGTTTACAATTTTTTTACTTTACATACGATAGCAGCGGTAGGGCCCGTATATACTAGTGTATACTAGTGTATACAGGCAAAATGCTATACTGTTGTGTTCCTTGCTGCTACAGTCACGTTGGGAGTCAAGTAGCAGTAGCAGCAGGACCCCCACAGGACTCGCAGTTGCTAGTGTACAGTACAACAGATACGGTACTGTACCATAGTGTTATGTGCTGTTTTTGGATAGCCTCTTCTGCGCTACTGTACATAATTTTGGTGTTATGCATCATGTCTATGAAACGTCCATCTGTGTCTCCTGCTGCTGGCGGGAAGAAGAAAAGAGAAATTAATCTTGAGAAACTTAAGATCATCTCAAAATAGGAAGGTGGCATGCCTGTAATGGCTATCGTAATAGACTTTGGACGGATTCAAAACGGATTCATGCTGCTGTGAAATCTTCGGCATCAATAAAATCCACTGTCCTCTCAAAACAAAGAGCTAGACGTGTCAATGAGATGGAAAAATTACTTGTTACGTGGATGGAAGACCAGATTCAGAAGTGTATGCCGCTTAGTCTACTCACGATCCAGGCTAAGAAGTCTTTTTGAAACCCCAGGACTTGTTCACAACAAATGCAGAGCAGATCTGCATGAGTTTCTGCACACGCAGTGCAGTGGTTTTTTCCTGCGTTTTTGATGCATTCCGGGCTGTTTTTGGTTACAAAAAAAACAAAAAAATGTTTTCAGTTTAAAATTTTTCAGTGCGTTCCAGGCGTTTGCATGCGTTTTTGATGCGTTTGCATGCATTCCAGAGCAGGTAAAATAGGGTCTGCTGCAGTTTTTTTTACCTGCTCTGGAACTGAACACTGCGATGTGAACTGGAGCTAAAAATACCATTGGAATACATTGGACGCAGTTTTGCTCCAGTCTGTAACTGCTCTGCTTTGCACCTGGAACGCGCTTGGTGTGAACAAGGCCTTAAAGAACATGCTGATGATCCTACATAGACGCAGGAGTTTATGTGAAGTCATGGGTGGTTCCAACGCTTCAAAAGTCGTCATAAGTTTCATAATAAGGTCAGCAATGGCATGATCTAAATATTCATTTAATTATTCAATGTCTTTTTTTTTTTATATTATAAACTTTATAATATAAAAAAAAAGACATTGAATAATGAAATGAAATGAATATTTATCATGCCAATGCTAACTAAGGCTTGTATCCCCATAGTGGGGAAAATAGATGAACATATGTCCAGACTCCAGACCAGAACACTGTATAGTGTGGCACAGCTATATCCAATTCTGCATACCTGGATTTATTTTCAAAGTAAGAACAAGTATTGGTAATTGGTATCGGCGAGTACTTGAAAAAAAGTATCGGTGACATGCATCACGATGTATAGTTCGTTTACTTGCCACCAAATACAACCTCACTCATTCAACCCATGGACCAAAGTGCAATTGCTACATTTAAAGCATACTATTTATGCCGCATGTTTGCACAGGCTGTTGAAGCAACTGATTCTGGCCAAACACTCCCGAGAGTTTTAGAAGGAATTGCATTCTCAATAGTATCCGGAACATCAGTGCAGTGGGAAGAAGTAACGCAGCAATGCACGAATGGTATTTTGAAGACCTACTGTATGTGAACACATTCAAAGGTTTAAACCAAGATTCTGCTATTGATGTAATTGTAAATAACAACATCCTAGTGCTTGGTAAACAGCGTGAACTGGACAATGATGCAGAGGGTATGCATGTGCTCGTTGGCATTGACGTTTAAGAGCTTTCAATTGAGGAGATAATTGAACTGGGGAAAGAGAGAGATAGAGCAGCTGAGGCAGAGGAAGAAGAGATAACCGAGACATTAAAAAAGTTCCTTGCAAAGAAATTGGCTGAGGCATTTGCTACTATCACTAGGGGCATACGGCTATTGGAAGTGATGATTCGCAAGAGTTTCCAGGCAGATTCGGGATGCTCTTGCCTGCTATAAAGACATTTATAATGAAAAGGAAAAACAAACTGTCCAGTCTAAAATTGATATTTTCCTGAAGAAAACGTCCGATGCCACAATGCATTCAAAACGTCCCAATGGTTAGGTTTACTACTGTATATTCTTCAAACATTTTTCAGTCCCAGTGTGCTTTCACCTGCATACATTGGTTATGGTAATTATCAATACAGTACAGTATAACCATTTTGTCTTTTTTGTTTTTTTTTTCAATACGTTATTCAATAAATTGCATGAGATACTCAACACTTTATTATCAAATACAGTTGGCTTTTGTCCATCTGTAGGTTAATGTGTTTTTTTATATATATAGTGATGAAAATAATGATTGATCCCCCTGCAGATTTTATAAGTTTGTCCACTTAGAAAGAAATGAAAGGTCTATAATGTTTTATCATAGGTGTATTTTAAATGATAGAGACAGAATATCAACCAGAAATCCAGAAAAAACACGATACAAATGTTATAAATTGAGTTGCAGTTCAGTGAGTAAAAGAAGTATAAATATGTTTATTTCCTGTTTTTATTGCAAGTTTAAACTACATGGTATTTTTTTTTTTCTTTCTTGTATAGCAACCATTGGCTTCGGACCTATTGCTCCCTCCATTGCTGTGGAGCCAGCCTCAGTAGTGAGTCATGTGGTGAGCCATGAGTTAATTGAAGGTAATATGTTTTACTCATTCACAAACAGACTTGCATAGTAACTTAACTTTAAGTACAAGCTAAAACTGAAATACACAGATGTTTTTTATTTTATATATACATCGGTTTACATTCTCCTGGCAGAATTTGTAAGATGTGGATCATTTTTAAGTAACCTAAGTACTCAGACCAAACACATTTATTTTTTAATGTGATGCAAATGTAACTATTAGGCATCACAGAATAGCAGTACAGTAAAATCCCCGTTATGCGGCACCCATGGGGATCGGTAGATGCCGGATAACTGCAGTTTCAGGTTGTTTGAGAGTTAATAGTAGCTCTCAAGCAATAACACTGACGTGCCCCCTTCCCGAGCGGCAATATTTATCTGCTGGCTAGATGCCGCAGGTAAATGGAAACAGCGGGCATTGGCCAGGAGCAATAGCCAAACTGCTATTTCCTATTTCAAATTGCAATAGCCTGTAGCAGGCTGGCTATTGCACCCACCCACTGAGCAGAGGAACGGACCTGAG